GGCAACAGTCCAAGGTTTGTGTTGGCCTTGATAAATCAGTCCGATGTTGATGGGAGTGTTCCCTCCAAAAGTGATCAATCCCCACTAAAAGGGGACACTCCCCGCCAACCAGGGCTTGCTTAGTCTGGGTTCGGACCCCAGAAATGATGGTGTGGAGGCCCACTTTGCCGAGACTCGAAGTTCAGGAAGTCGGACACTTTCACCACCCACATGGCCGCGCCAATACATGACGGCAGCCAAGACGGATCGGCCATGGCTGAGGCCGAGCCGAAAGCTACGCCCAAAACAGGCCACAACCCTCAAGTTCTTTGAAATCCACCAGGGCTTTCAATATTCAAATCCGACGTTGCTTTGAGTGGCTCATGACAGAAAAAGGAATGCATGCTGAGAACAATAACGGCGCTTCCCCCAAGCTTTCTTGCATGGACAACATTCTTGATTTGAAGGTCGTAGCTTGTGGCTTCACGTTTGAATCGAAGGGTGTTGATCAAAAAGCTGCACCATTGGCTGGCCAGTTGGCAATGTATCTTCCGGTTGGCTCCTCATGAAAAGAACTTGACAAAAGCAGAGGCCCAATATCCTTGGTAAAGGCCCAGGCTTCGACCCTTCTCCCCCATGACCTTCGAACCATATACATGTGAGACGCTGCGTTCCACGACTTGGCTGCCAAAGTGCGCTCCACCCAGTTTGGTGTTGTTTTGTCGCCTTTCCTCGAAGAGGAGCGCTAGGATGGTACGACTGTTGGCCGCTGAACGCGCGCGCGGAATACTCCGCGCGTGCAAGCGGAACTGGCCGCCCAAAAGGCGCTTCGTTTTCTTGCTTTCAGATCGCTCTTGAATCATTCGGACATACTGGTCGAAGCTGGTTAGCTTCCATAGCGGTAGTCCCCCGAGAATCCTCGCAAGAAAGTTCAGCACCGGGAGGAGCAAAGCCCTCTGGACGACTCAAGCGGCACAGGTTGCTGTTGCTTGGAAAATGGCGGCGGATCTGGCCTGGGCGAAGCTAGGCAAAGCACAGCCCGCCTGGAGCCTTCAAGGCCCAAATGGACCAGATCAGCTGAGCAGCCAGAATTCACCGTGTCGTCAGTTGCTTGGTGAGTGCGCCCAAGTTTTTCTCGTGGAAGCTTGGAAATGCTTGCATCCTCCAGCGAATCTTGACCGATGGAGAAGTTTGGCCTCCAAGGGAGGAGCCCTTCAGGGTCACGATAGTCGCAGGTCCCCGAACAGCGGCTGAAATTGAGAGGCTTGGGCTGGGCCCTGATTAAAACATGTTTAAGACATGCTTATAACCATTGTTCAAACATTCCTGGGTCAAAACAACTTGGCCCAACCCTGCTTGAAACTGCCACCATCTGCCACCTTGCCCCAAGCTTCAGGACAAAATCGTTGACGGCTGGGTTTCCACGAAAGGTCGAAAGCTTGGCTCGCGCAAGTGGGCCAAAAGAGACTGATCCAGCCAACTCACCTTGCTTCGCTGCGGAAAAGTCATGGCCCTCGATGCTATGTTTTCTCTTTCTTTGGCTCTGCATGAGTTATCAGCACTTCACATGCCACGAAGGTTACCTGTCTCTTGCTTTTCCTCAGCCTTACAATGATTCCATAGAGAGGTGGGAATGCAACTGAACGGTTGGGGCTTACCTTTCGTAGAGGAAAAGCCCAGCGGATTCGTCAGTTCGGTGACAGGGCGCGCCCCCAACCCACCCCCTGTGGACCGACACCAGGGAGTAAGGGCCGAGGTAATACCGTGGTTGCCTCGCCACTTGAGAGAATATGAGGCCCTGCCTGCACTGGAGGTCCGGGTGGTTGCCTTGCTCAGTAACTGTAAAGAGTGCGCGCAAAGCCTTGTTTTTTCATCGCCCCCCCATCCCTCCCTTGAGGGGCCCTGTGCTTCAATCGCACCTGAGTGAGGGAAACAAATGCGCAAACAGAACTGGGGATCAAGCGTCCCAATCTGGATGAATTCCGCAACCATGATTGGAGCAATGCCCTGTTTGAGCTGTAAGTTATATTATTTGTGTCACATGCAAAATGAAAAAATCAAAAACTCCACCCCGGGCTCCTGCAAGTCACCCTTTGGATGGTCCAATCGGTCAACATCCGGTGTGGCAAAGGGCTCTTGCGGCACGCGGCTTGGTCGCTACATCATAATAGGCTGCGCTCGCCGAACACAGCTGAAAAATTTGCTGCTTGCCATGACGCAATGCGTCGCACAAAAAGCACACAAACTGCACATGGCATGCACATAGGCATCCCACAATCTGAAGCGCTGAGCGATTGGATTATCCATGCTGCCACCATGGGGGTGGTCATCTTGACTTTCTCTAAACACTTCGCTAAACACTGCGATGAACTCCCATTTGCGAGTCAGGCACTTGCCCGACACTGTTCCAGTTGAGCAGCGCCCGGATTGCTAAGTCATGAGTGCCAATCGGCAACTGCTAACCCGATCCCTGATTACGACACATCCTAAACACCGATCTGCACGCTGCGCGTTTCGTCGCTCAAATGGAAAACGTGGTCTGGTGGCGGTGAAGGACATTCAGCACCGCTGCGGACTGCGTCAGCTGCAGCGGCGTGCGCCCTCGAGCGTTCCGCAGCTCGCAGTCGGCTTTTGCCTCTAGCAGCAGCTCCACGAGCTCCTCCGCGCCGAAAAAGCAAGCGAAGCCCAGGGAAGTCGTCGACCACTCCTCGGTATTTGGAGCCGGGGGCGCAGTGCGGGAAGATCGTAGCCAAATCTGCGTAACCAAGCTTTCAAATGCCCTCAAGCGCTCCAGCTATGCGTCCCTTTTGAACGCCGACGCGGAACCCACTTGCGTTTGCCCGAAACAACCCTGGCTTCAGACATTGAAATCCGCCAAGAACAGTCAATATGGCATGGCCCGGTGATGACCCAGCCCAGGCGCCACTGCAAACAAACACGAGCCATGGCCTTTTCGCCTTCAAACGAACAATGGACAGACAACGCATCACCTTTTGCAAATGAAAGCACCAACATAAACAATGAGATAAACAGCCCTATTGCATGTGTATGAATGATCTTGCAGCTCTTACATTTTTAGGTGTCAGAAACGAGAAAATGCTTTTCGGAGTAGGATGGCTGTGTCTTTTTCAAAACAACAGGGTGGTTTCCCTTTGCGTTTCTCTTGAAACCACAAAAAGCTGGATTCCACCTTTTTTGGGCTCGACTATTTGCGAGTAGGGTTTGCGAACAACCTTGGGGAATTGAATAGTTCTGGGCCCCGCGAAACCGACAAAAATGATTGCGCATGAATCCGTTCAGAAAATGTGGTACGGTTCGGCTCCCGCGCTGCAATGAACTGAGCTTTGCTCATTGCCCGGACGCACGCTTGGCCTGTTTAGCGTTGCCCGTTCGACCTTCCTTTGCAAGCTGCGGGGGACGAGAGGACTTGTGCAAACAAAGCAGGCTGGTGAAAAGGCGATGTTGTTTTTTGCAAACGGTGCCAACTTTCAAATCATGCTGTTAGGGCCATGTCAGACTACATGTTGAAGGTCTGATGGCCCATAGGCGGCTTCTGATCTTGTTTGTTTCGAGAGGGGGTCTAAGCAAAAAATGCAGAACAATCTAGACCGACCCTCACTTACGTTTTGTTTTTTTCCGGAGCGGTGACTAAGGGGTAGGGGTACTGTGACAACCTGTAAAAGCAAAAGCCCAACTCATCGTCTTTGACCCAAGGCGCGGCGAAGAATTGGGTTACTTTCGGCGCCTTGCTGCCGCGCAACATCACCAGGCCCCGGCAGGTCCTGAGATTGGTTCAACGACATCTGCCAGCTCCAACTTGGGGAGGCTGGTTGCTTCGGGAGTGCGAAAGCCGAACGCAGCTTCGCAAGTGCCTTTTGCTTGAAACTGCAGGCGCCCAGCCCAGTGCCTTCAGACCGGCCAAGATCGTTACCAAAGCCATTGAGGACATTGCACAAAAACTACAGTTTTCTGGATCTTTCGTCTTTTGTTTCCTTCTCTGTGCTTGCTGTTTACGAAAATGGACTCCTTGATAATTACATCTAGGTCATTCCTTCCTTCCTTCCTTCCTTCCTTCCTTCCTTCCTTCCTTCCTTCCTTCCTTCCTTCCTTCCTTCCTTCCTTCCGCATCCTTCCATTTCTATCTTTTCAATCAAGGCAGCAGAAGCACCAAATGAAGACCAGCAGGAGGTTCCACACACACACACAGCACGATATGCAAACAACACAAGAAATCGACAAACGGGCATGAACAGGACAAAAACAGCATAATATAAAGCATACACCGGAAGGACAACAAGAAACCATCAAACAAACATCACAGCAAATCAAGAGGACACAACATGCGCGTCAACACAAGCATCACAATGACACCAACATTCAAGATACGCGCGAAACAAAAACGACGCCGAAAACAACACCAACGAAATTGCGAGGTCTTCGCAGGTGAATTAGCGCAACATAAAAGGACGCTGCAAGGAAACGGCATTTAAAGGCCAACTTGGCAACCTTCAACATTGCCAAGCGTCAATTCCCCGAGGCGCCAGACTCCCGACCCGTGGTGCTGGGCATTTACATCTGCCCGGGCGTCCAAAAGCAATTTGGCAACTTCAATGGAGTTCTCGCTCATCGTCGACCTCAACTGGGTCTGAACGCCATGAAAAACGACGGTCCAGACCTCTTTACCCTTCATTGGGAGCAAATGAAATTTGAGTTGCTCTCTGAAGTTGAGGACTGCAAGCGAGTGAATCCGAGCAAGTGTCAACTTTCCTATCCGGTGCTACCAGTGGGGCCGGCAACAAGAGGACACCAACCAGTAGATAAATCAATCGGGTTGGCTATGTTTTTTGTGGGGGAACGACGCCACGGAACACGGAACCCAAAAGATCTTTGAGCAAACCATGCCTGTTGGGGGTCATGCCAATCTGCACTGAGTGGCCGGTAAGCGACGGCCGCAAAGGGATGATTGCACCCAGCAGCGCCTCTTCTTGGGTTCACATCTGCACCATGCCTCCTGGCCCCAGAAACTGCTTGCTGCGTGACGGGTGCTCTTAAAAACCAAGGTTCTTGACTGGCCAAACGATTTCAGGCAATCATGGGCAAATATATTGTTGTACTTCATCCTCTGGTCGAGTGCCAAATCTGGAAGCTACACGGTGAGCTAGTTTATCGCGTTAGCGATCAGCCAAGGGCGGATGGATCCCAAGAGGGACCACACTTTGCAACGTATAGATTATGCAAAACAGTCTGAAAGGGCATGTAAACTGATGTCTGCCATAGGTCCTGATGAAAAACCACCCAGCGCCAGGTCCAATTGTGGGGATTCTTCCAGGGTCGTTGATCTTCGTCTCACCATGAGCTTTCACGATTGGTTCCAGCCGCTCCCGTATATAGGTCTGCTTCCACTGCCAATGAATTGGCTTCCACTTTCCCAGGGCTGTGGGATGGGCTTCCTTGTCACACCACCTTCAACATCGCTGATTCACGACTTGTAGCGCTGATCCTTGCCGTTGTTGCCATATAATGCCCCAAATTGCTCGGTCTGCAAAAACCATCCCCCGTGGTAGACGAACACATCGTCGGGGTTGATCTCCCCGACGTCCTCCTGCGGTGGCACCAGCGCTAGCCGTGCTGCGTACTTTGGAACAGCAACGGCACCTTTGATCACCTCCTTCAAAACTTGTGATGATACAGAGCTCCCCGCGCTGCGCTGTAGGCGTAAAACGGGTCGGTGATGATGCGTTCGTAAAGACTGTTGTAATCCCTGCTCCGCAAAACAGCCTTCTGGGCAATATCTTTCATAATGCCCAAGCCTCCTCGACAGCTCCGTTCGCCGCGAGCGTCCTTGTGCTGCGTCACGATCTGGGTTTCGAGTTGCTACAGCGATGCGGCCGGCCGTCTCCTCGAGACGCACAACACGTGCCAATTTCTTGATGTCCGGCATCTTTTCCTGGACGGCATCGCATTGGAAGCAATGAATGGATCTAACAGTGCAAACCATGGACAAGCGTAGCATTCGGACTGGGGCACGTGCATGACTTCGGTTTCTTCTTGTTAGGATCAAGATCTTGCCAAAGACCACGCCGGCCCCGGGCCTCCCTGGGCTGCTGATGGTCCGCGCGGGCCAACTCTATATAGAGCGCATAGCGGGCCATCCTTGGAATGGACCCATCATGTCGCCGCAAGCTCCCGGCCCCAAGGGCTTGCAGCGCTCATTGCAATCACGATCAGTCGTCGCCACGAACGAAAAAGGCACAGGTGCGAGGTCCTTGCCATCCTTGATGCCTTCGTGGTACTGCTTGGTCATGTTCTGATAACTGCGACGAAGCCTCACGTACATGCGGTTGGACCGCATCGTAAGCGTGATGACCTTGATTGAAATCCAATCTTCAGCGACAAGGGCCTCACCGTCTCCGGGGGCGTGCAGGCGACAGCCAAGCTGAACGAACATCTCGACATCGACTGCGGGGTGGTCAGCTCTGGCCCCCCCGGCCTTGCGTCCAAGCCTGTCCCAAAGGTGGCACTACCGTTAGGTAGGCATGGCCGCACGATGACTGCTGTCCTCCCATTATTCCCTGGACTATGCCCATATAAATGTCAAAGAATCTCTACATCGTGCGCGTGTGGTGGTATGCCATTTTGGGCATCGCCTTTCGGCGAGCGTCCGTGAAGTTCCGACAGAACCCAGACCACAGGACCAGACCGGATTCTTCGCATGGTCAAGGGTATAGTTGGCATCGAGGGTGATGGGCGTGCCCGGAATATGGTTGAATCCCACCGCTTCAGCCACCTAGTCAGTGTGACCGAGGAGATGCGCAAGGGCATGATCTTGAGATTGTTCCATTGAACTTTAGCAAGGGGCATGCTCAACGTACACCTCAAATCGCTTGGGACGTGTTGCGTACAGTGCCTATCATGTCTGCGCTGGATCCACTTCGTGACAGCCTCAAGGTCCAGAGGAAGATCCTTCAAGTTAATCTCGGGGATCATTTTTTTGCTGAGAAGCGTAGTTCTGCCACGGTCTTTGAGTGCGGGGATGCTAACGCCCGAGCCCCGAGCAACTGATCCACTCTCTCTTGGGCTCTTGCTGGCCGTGGATTTCCCGGGCTTGGCGGCTCCTCCAGGAGTCGCCTTTGCCTTTGGGGAACTTGCCGCGCCACGGATCTCTCCGGGCTGCGCGTTGCTGTTGCCAGCCTCGGGCGCCGATGACTTGCTGCTGTTTGGCTCAGCTTTTGGTTTCACCTTCGGGGTAGCGAAGCCATTGCTTCTGTCATTTTGTTGTTGGTCTTCGGCTTCGAGGACACTCGCCAACGTCAGTCGTCTTGATGGTGGCTACCCGCGCGACCTGGCCTTTCGGCGTTTTGTTTTGTTGGGTGTGTACTGGCACGTCCATCACGATGATGTCGTCCTTGGCTTGTTCCTCAGAGGATGTCCGCTCGAGACATCAAGGCCGGCAGTTGTCGCCCAATGAGTGTCTGGCTGCAGCATTTGCAACACTTTCTGCTCCTCGCTCAACGTGTTCAGCGGATTCAAGGGATGCGCCTCCTTCTCTTCCTCCAGGAGGATCTCTCTCTTCGGCACGAGTGCTGCAACTTTGCAAAGGGAATTTCCGGGTTCTTTGCTGAAGCCGGACCACCAGTCTCCGCAGGTGAAGCACCATAAGTCGGGATAGAAGTACCCAAATCGAGGTACTCACGTTCCAGGACAAACCCGGATGTGCTGCTAATGAGGGTTTGCGGGTCCAACACCGTGATGTGCCCACCATAGCTGCAAACGCGGGCATGACTGTCCATCTGAATTTTGTACGACTCCGTCAGGCCATAGGCTTCGTAGTCGTGTGGAACAATGAGTACTACCTGCAAGACATCGTCACGATGAGACAAATGTCGAAGACGGTCACGTGCAGTCATGCCAGTGCGAGCATTCCGTATTCGTGGCCCAGCCCGCTAGGGCGGCGGGATTGTCGATGCAGCCGTTGCGACCGACAACATCTTTCCCAGACCACGAAATCGCATGGGTGCTCCGGCCTCTTGGCAAGCTTCGCAATGGCTCGCTGCGGCATCAATCACATGAGTCAAACCCTTCCCCCACGTCATGTCCAACCAGTCTCTTGCTCTCCTTGGTGATGGTTTCGCCATCGGTCTTGGCATCCTCCTTTCCAAATTCTAATCAATAACTCTCGATTCCTATTGAAACAGCCTTTTTTCAATAGAAACTAATTGATTTTAGGAGCTCTAAAATCAATACCAAAGCCCCCTTCAGAATCAATACAAACAGCTCACGAAAAACAAGCCAAATCAATAACAAAATCAATAGAAACCATAGCTGTTTTACTTGCCAAGTCATATGCCAAATGAATAAGCAGTGACAGATATGCACCGCTACCCTCAGGCTGCAAAAGTCTTAAGTCCCAAGAAAAACAAATGTTTACGTAAATGGGAGAAAGTACGAAAATAGTTGTTCAAAAAAGGGCTAAATAATTACATTTCTAGTTTGCTCCCATAATCATTGCCAAATTTGGCTGTGGTGGAAAAATGCAAAGTCCACTATTGTTTTACCGCTAACATGGTTTTCCCAAACAGTTTAAAGTCCAGGAATCAGAGAGTGAAGCGGCGGAGTTCCCTCTAAAAATTGTCAGAATCCCCACTAAAGGGGGACAGTTCCCAATCAAAATCAACCAGGGGTTTAGCTTCATCTGCGGTTCCCAAACCTTCCTGTCCACTAACATGGAACCCACCAAAGGGCCCCTCCTGGTTGCTAACATGTCTTTGTTTGTTGTGTGTTTTTGGTTTTGGGGAATTCTCGAGGTTTTGAATGAAACTTTGCACTTACTTAGGGTTTGTTGGGAATGTCTATCTGGGATATGGTTGCTGACATGTTGACTGCTTGGTTTGTGGTATGTGCTTTTTGTTGGAACTCTTGGGCTTGTGGACAATATGCATGTAGTGATGGATTGTTTGGATGGTTGCTGACATTTTAAGTTGTGTTTGTTTGTGTGTTTTGAACTTCTCGAGCTGTTTGGGGAATGTTGCACTTACTGAGGTTGTTTTTGACTTTTCATCTGGGGCGTGGTTGCTGACATGTTTGGTACTTTTGTGGATTGAATTCTAGAAATCCAGCACCATCCACCCTGGCCAAGAGACCAATTGGAAGCCAACAGCCCCTGCTTTTTCTGGTTCATCATGTTTTGCTGGTAAAGACCCATGCCACCAAACCCAAGGCAAATGCAATGAAGATAACAAAGTTCCCTGGCGCCTGCAAGGATGCAAAGGAAATCAATCAAAAACAAGTGAAGGAGCCAAGAAACGGTTGAGGAAAAAAGGTTGAGGAAAAAGCAGGGTTGGGAACAAGTTGAGAATCCGTGGAGGAAAAAGGTTGGGGAAAAAGGTTGGGAACAAGTTGGGAAAAAGGTTAAGGACAAAGGTTGGGAACAAGTTGGGAAAAGGGAAAAGGTTAAGGAAAATGTTTGGGAACAAGTTGGGACAAAGGTTGAGGAACAAGGTTGAGGAAAAAGGTTGGGACCAAGTTGAGAAAAAGGTTGAGGAAAAGGTTGGGGAAAAAGGTTGGGAACAAGGTGGGAAAAAGGTTGGGAACAAGTTGGGAAAAAGGTTGAGGAAAAAGGTTGAGGACAAGTTGGGAGAAAGGTTGAGGAAAAAGGTTGAGGACAAAGGTTGGGAACAAGTTGAGGAAAAAGGTTTGAACAAAAGGTTGAGGAACAAGGTTGGGAACAAGTTGAGAAAATGTTGAGGAAAAAGTGTGAGGAAACAGGTTGGAAAAAGGTTGGAAAAAAGGTTGAGGAACAAGGTTGGGAACAAGTTGGGAAAAAGCTTGGGGAAAAAGGCTGGGAACAAGTTGAGAAGCAGGTTGAGGAAAAAGGTTGAGGAAAAAGGTTGGGACCAAGTTGGGCAAAAAGGTTGAGGAAAAGGTTGGGGAAAAAGGTTCGGACCAAGGTGAGAAAAAGGTTGAGGAACAAGGTTGAGGAAAGAGGTTGGGAACAAGTTGGGAAAAGGGTTC